GGAATATTATTGAATACCCGATCCAAAAATGCTCCTATAAGTAATATTCAGGTCAATTACCAAAAATTTTAATTTTCGGAACTAAAAGTGGATTCTTTCCAAGTTATTGTGTAAAAATATTTTATTATAAAGTAATTATATTGAAACAGGTAAAATTTTCATACATTTTGTTAATATCATGAAACCAAATATATATTGAAATGATCTGTATACTTACTTTTGTGACGTAAATTTTGCAGTTATTTAGCTTCACCTTAAATGAGAACTCAAATAACAAAAATATACAGAAAAAAAGTAGTGAATAATAATTATTATAATTGTTTTTAATAAATAAATGTGTTACTTTTTTGCTTTTTGAAAAAATAATATTCTTTTTTAAATAAAACCAATTATCAGTATTTCTGTATACTTATTTTTGTGATTAAATGTATTTTGTCATACATAAATCATATTTCACATTCTTATTTTGTTGCAAATAGCTGAAATTATGTATACGGAAAACTTACCACAAGCCGAAAATAAGATTTTCGCGTATCTTTTTTTTGACAACAAAATAATAAAAAATGATATTGTAACAATATCGTTTTCACTAATAAAAATATGATATCATAATCGCCCTTATAAGGCAATACCGTTTTTGCTATCATATCGTTCTTTGGTTACGAGATTTACGAGATTTATAGTTACATAATGGAATGCAAGGGGCTTATGTAAAAAAAATTTAACTCTAAAACATTGCTTATTGAGTTCAAATATTTTTTTTTTTTTATAGATATCCCAGTGGCCTCCGGTAGGTTAGTGGTTAGTGTTCTAGACTGGTAGACCGGAGGTGGTGGGTTCGATTCCCACCTGAGGCACTGGTTAAGGAGCGCACAACAGGCCCGATAGAGGCCTAGGTGTATTTCTTCGGATTTGATGTATATACATCCTCCTTTCAAACTAACTAACTAACTAACTAACTATAGATATCCCACTCCACAGTGGACTAAACGCGCAATCTAGCGCGAAATTGGTGTTTTCAAAACAAAATTTGTACTGCTATTATATTAACATCGGTGTAAGCAGTCAAACAAGAGCAATAATTTCAATTTTTCGGAACTAAAAGTTGATTTTTTCCAAGTTATTGTGTAAAAATATTTTATTATAAAGTAAATATATTCAAACAGGTAAAATTTTCATACATTTTGTTAATATCATGAAACCAAATATATATTGAAATAATCTGTATACTTACTTCTGTGACATAAATTTTGCACCTATTTAGCTTCACCTTAAATGAGAACTCAAATAACAAAAAATATCCAGAAAAAAAGTAGTGAATAATAATTATTATAATTGTTTTTAATAAATAAATGTGCAACTTTTTTGTTTTTTGAAAAAATAATATCATTTTTAAATAAAACCAATTATCAGTATTTCTGTATACTTATTTTTGTGATTAACTGTATTTTGTCATACATAAATCATATTTCACATTCTTATTTTGTTGCAAATAGCTGAAATTTTTTAAGATTACATATGTATACGGAAAACTTACCCCAAGCCGAAAATAAGATTTTTGCGTATCTTTTTTTTTGAAAACAAAATAATAAAAAATGATATTGTAACAATATCGTTTTCACTAATAAAAATATGATATCATAATCGCCCTTATAAGGCAATACCGTTTTTGCTATCATATCGTTCTTTGGTTTATTGGGTATGTATATGGGTCATTTCGTGTCAAGTGACCCAACTTTAAAAATCGATGTCATCCGAGGTTAGTACAATTGGATAGTAGTCCAGACACAAATTTTCAGCGCTATCGGTCCAGAACTGTCGGACTTAGAGGGGTTCAAATTGTACATTTTGGTCATATAGGGTTTATTCAAATGCGTGTAACTTTTCACAGTCCTAGCAAAAATGTTCCAAAGGAGTTCAGATAGTTATTTCTTTAATGTTTCAAAAAATTTTTTATTTTTTTAAAATGAATTTTTTTTTTAATTATTTTTTTTAAACTCCAATATTTTCTTTCTTTTTTTTGCTCAAACGAAAGCTTAGACAATTTACCTTAAGGTATTTATAGTCCCACAATGGGATGCGAGTGGGATATCTATCAAAAAAATTATTTTTTAACTTAAGAATAAGATTTTTTCAATATTTGGCACTTACTCTAAAGAAAGCTTAGACCATTTCCTTTACGAGATTTATAGTTACATAATGGGATGCAAGGGGCTTATGTGAAAAAAATTAACTCTAAAACATTGCTTATTGAGTTCAAATATTTTTATAGATGTCCCACTCCACAGTGGACCAAACGCGCAATCTAGCGTGAAATTGATCGAAAAAATTTGTGTGTTTCAAAACAAAATTTGTACTGCTATTATACTTACCATGTTCCTGTGGTTAAGGGTAAAATTTTTATAACTTATATAATACTTATATATATAACAAAAATTAACGAAATTCACCCAAAATATTTATTATTGTCCTAGGCAGTTTGGTATGGAAAATGAGCAAAATCGGTTCTCACCGGGAAAAGTTATGAATCAAAATTTGAAACAACCTCAAAAAAAATAAGCATTTTTTACACATTCTGGTGTAATTTTCTCGAAAACTATGAAAGATAATTCCATAAAATTATAAAATCAGCATACATTCGTTTCTACACAAGAGCTTTACTCCTGCTGAAAATTGCCAGAATCGGTCCACAATTTCATATACCTCCCATACAAAAGTACATATTCCCGGAAAATGGGTTTTTTGTTAATAACTTCCGTCACAATGTCGAAATCTTTACAAAATTTTACAAATTAAAATCTTATGTCAATAGAATTCATTCAGAGAAAAAATTTTCTGGATCGGTCCATAATTGGTCATAACTCCCATACAAGGTCCCCTCCCGAAAATCACTTAAACGCGCATAACTCATTACTAACATAAGACATTCATATAAAATTTGGTACAAGTATTACTCATGTGCACAGAAATATTATTGTGAAATTTTTTTCCGATCGGTCCATAATTGGTCATAGCTCCCATACAAGGTCCCCTCCCGAAATCAAATTGATATCCATACATTTAGCACAACAGAATTTTGAAATTTTGTTTTTATATACACAATTGTTCATAGCTCCCATACAAGGTCCTCTTTCGAAAATCTCTTAAATGCACATTACTCATTACCAAATAAAGCTATTGATACAAAAATTCTATTTTAAGATTTTTGCACGATCGGTTCATAACTCACATAACTTATTACTAAATTATGATATAGATACAAAATTTTACTGAAATATAGCTTTCATGTCCAGAAGTTTTGCTTAAAGAATTTTTTACGATCGGTCTATAATTGGTCATATCTCCCATACTAGGTCCTGCCCCTAAAACCGCATTTAACTAGTTGCATTATCAATTTGTGTAGAACAAAATTATATATATGTATTTTGAAAATCCTTAAATCTTTCACACACATGCATACATGCAAATTAATAAAAATCGCCAAGCGTTGGTAATGTTCAATAAATCTTGGAATTGTAATAGATTTGAGCTGTTTGAATCTAGGGATTTTTCTATTTAAGATATGAGAAAACTTATTTCTACAAATATTTGATCAATTAGAAAAGTATTAATATAAAAGCAGCTGGTGGAGGGTATTTAAGATTCGGCTCAGCCGAATATAGCACTCAAACTTGTTTTTTTTTTTTTTGTTTATTAAGAAATTAATATCGGTATAAGCAGTCAAACAAGAGCAATTTTTTAAATATTTTTTGCAAATTTCATATAAATGCTTTGATAGTTTGAAGTGATTTTTTAAAGATCGTGAGAAGTTAATTACAAAATTATTTCATATTTATTAACTAAAAGGAATGTTTATAGAATTGTATAAATATGTAACATTTTTATGATATCGTTCCCCAAAAAATTAAGATCGAAAAGTGTTGGTATATTCAAGTTATTTTTCAAGAAACTTCAATTTTTTTTAAAGTTTTTAAATACTACTCCCGCTTACTTCTGTAGATATTTAGTATATTGTATTTTGACATACTTATAATATGCACCACGCCTTTGAAATATTATTCCCATTCTATCGATATTGTAGCTCATTTAATTTTATAGTCACATTCCAAATTTCAGAATTCTATGTGCGTTCTAAGTCGAGTTAAACACTATTGCGCGCTAGGTTAGGCATTTGGTCCACTGTGCTCTCCCAATAAGTATCCACAAAGCTCTTAATGGAAATGGTCTAAGCTTTCATTTGAGCAAAAAAAAAAAAAAAAAAACAACAAAAGCGTCCAATTTAAAAACAAATATGGGAAAATTTAGTGCAAATATTGGAAAAAAAAATTATTCTTAAGTTAAAAAAATTTTTCATAGATATCCCACTCCACACAAAATGTCCAACTTTGACCCACCCTAAGTCCGGCAGTTCTGATTTGCGTTATTTCTTTAAGTATAGAAATTAGGAAAAAAAAAGTGGAACACTCTTGTTTAACTTAAGGAAGCTTAGAAGCTGGCCTATTTTTAAATCACCTAGGTTTTTGACAAAATCTTATGAGAATTACATTTCAACACTACCATAAAATTTCAGCCCCAAATTTTAAGTATTCTATTATTCATGTAATTGGAATATATTCTTAAGATTGATAAAATTTAACTCAAAACAAAATGTTATCAAACAATTTCGTATTAATTTTACTAATAAAATTTGTTAAATAATTGGAAAAATAAAAAAAAAATAATAAAACTTCTTTAAAAAAAATAAAAACCGACAGTAGAGAAAAAAAAAACGGTTTTAAAACCGGTTGAGTCGATCACCCTAATGTACATACATTTAACAAAAACGAGCTGCTAACTAACTTGCTGTTAACTTTTTTATGTGAAATTTGACAAAGCAAAACGAAACAGCTTGTTACTTAGCGTATTTTGTTATGAATAAGTCCACAAGTATTTTACTCATAGTAAAAATAGTATTAAATTTAAAATAATTTTAATAATACATAATAAATTATGTTATTTAGATATGAACTCTGTGGCTGCTTTATCTTTGGGTCCTGGATGTAAAGTAAACATGAACCTTATAAAACAAAATTGCTCAGCTAAGGTGACAGATATTAACAAAATTATATGCGGCAATATAGATGACCAGTAAGTTACAAATTAATTTTGCCTTATAGTATTTAATTTTAAGTCACATTATACAAATCATACACAGTCAAACCCATTTATAACGAACTCTGGGGAACCAGTCAAAATAAGCGAAGTTCGTATTCAGACGGCTGAAATTTTTGAAGATCAAAATATAACGTGTCATTTTCCGTAATTAAAATAACATGGATTATAAATTTATTGTAGAGTTTCAATAAAAAACTACAACTGATTTTATTTGTTCATATATGTAGTTCTGAACAAATTTAAGTTTTTTCAAACAAAGTGGAATAGGTTAGGTTACGCTCGCTAGCAAGCGAGTTTACTCTTAGGCCTTGTGGACCATTGTGATACCCTTAGAATTACCATTCCCTAATATTGAGAGAACTTGGTTCGTTCGGTCTCCGTGTAAACCAGTCGGAGCTTTTAATAAAACCGATCATGTTTATTAGTGACGCATCTCTGAGACAGTCTAGATCTTGGAAAAGAGCTCTACCAAGATAGAGTAGTCTGTGTTCTTGTAAGGCTGGGCAGCCACATAGAAGGTGTTGTACCGATTCCACTTCTTCTTCTTCTAAGCAGCTTCTACAGAAGTATGATTTGGGTAGCCCATACGTTCCGACATATGTCCAATCATACAGTGCCCAATAATTATACCAGTTAGAAGCCTAAACGAGTTCTTACTAAGAGACAAGAAAGTCCTAGTCCTATCTGTTGTCAGAGTGGGCCAGAGCAGTCTCGATATTCTACAAGTGGTGATATTTGACCACCTGAGATCCGTCTCACTCAAAGCCCATTCATTAATCAGTTTTGATAGGATCGTCAGGGGAGTGTGTATATATGTTGCGCAAGGGTTAAGTCTAGAGACGACCCTTTGGTTGCGCATTCATCAGATATTTTATTTCCCCGGATGCCCTCATGTTTGGTAGTTTATACCTCTACCACAGGTATGAAGAAGACACTGCCGCTCCTCTGGAGTCAGACGCAGACCAGGATGCCGCTCAATATGAGTTAGACGCAACCTAGATTTAGTTTCGAACAAAAACATTCGGACTGACAGAACCAGATTGTACCTTCCAGCCGCTGTTAACATAGGAAACAGACGCTAGGTATGTTGCCTAGGTAAACCAAACCACAGTCCCGGACCGACATCAAAAAGAAAGGGAGGATTTGGTAGCCGCCCTAACTAAGGGAACAGACGCTACCAAATTGAGGTCATGATCGCTAGGCGACCGAAGATGGTCATTTACCCCACAGCCGCTCTTAATATAGAGGACAGACGCTGTGAGGTATGTGGAGGGTAGTTCTTAGTTCACATCCTTAGGATGCTTAAGCCTCTGCACCGTGCCCGAAGACTCAAGGTAACTACCCGCAGCAAAGTGGAATAGTTTATTATGATATCAACACATAATTTTTGAAGTTCTTTATAAAATAAAAAAATTTATGAAATTGTACTTGAGGGACTGAAAAAGCACTTAGTTTTGTCCAAGGATTCGATATAAGAGATGTTTCTTGTATAAAATAGTTATGAAAATGTCAGGACTTGAGAAATAGTTCGTAATAACTGAGAATTAGTCATAATCGAGTTCGTTATAAGCGATTTTGACTGTATGTATATTTATATATCAATGAAACAGGCTCACATACATACATATATCAGAATATATTCAACATTTTGAAGAATTGATGCAAATATTTTGTAAAAAATGAAAAAAACGGTACATTTGCGAATTAAATGTGTAAAAGAATTTGGATCAAAGCATGCTCATTAAAGTGTCCCGTGGAACAATCCTTTTAAGAATATTATGTAGGAATACTTCTCAAATGATGCGTATTAATAAACTGAACACGAGAAAAATTAATTTTTTTTTGGAACGGTCTTCAGCTCCCTACCACGCCCACTTCGTATGTACCAATTTTGGTATACTGATACTTGACGTATTAAAACTTTGAAATTTAGTTTTTAAAATATTTAAGTTTTAATTTATTTTATTTTAAATTAATGGGATTTATACTTTTACATAATTTGAAAAAAATATAAAAAAATATTTTATTAACTCCGAAGTTACTGTACCTCGTTTTTGGCGTCAAAATCACAAGCTACGGTTTCACCAGCAGGAATCCTAATTTCTAACTTCCGGAATTACTGCAGATAAAACCACACATTGGTTGGATCAATCGAGAGTAACATCCTAAACCATATTTGTCATATTGTAAAGGGCCCCTGCAGAAAACAAATATGAATCTTTTACTTTTGTTCCATATTAGATGAATATATGGAATCGAAAGAAACCATCTGCAAAGAAGAATTGTTTAAGACTTTAAAAAAACACAAAGTAACACAACAAAAAAGAAAGCTGAATTAATGTAAGAGAATGAGAGAGAACAATTGATAGTTTTTTATATATAGACTTTGATATAAGCAGGCTGTCAAAATCCATAATAAAAATTTTACATTTAATGTCCATGTTCATTCAAATCATCGGATAACAACTATGCACTTTACCTATGATGACGTGTGAAGTTAGCCAACAAATAAATCGCCTGTACATTCAAGACACTGTATATCCTGCCACAGACGAAGAAAAATCAAACCTCCCAAACTCATTTTGTCCTTTGTGCTGCCAACAATACAAAAATTCGAACATATGGTAAAAATTTTATAAACTGCGTTTCCTCTGGTCATTGTAACATATCCAATAATAGGATCAGACTTTCTTAAACACTATGGATTACTAGTTGATGTCAAAAATAACTGCTTACTAGATTCAGAAAACGACTGGCATTTCTTCAAAGCTTCAAGATTTCAATTTAAAAAGCATTTGATGCGATTCTGGCAAGTTTCAATCAATCCTTAAGGAATTCACAATACCTAGCGATAAACTGCCGTCAGTTCTCCTCACATAGAGAGAACTGGGTCACAGGTGTATGCCAAAGCACATAGATAGTCTCCAGAAAAATAAAAAACTGCCAAACAAGAGTTTGAGTACATGCTTCATCTTGGTATTTGTCGACTATACAAAAGTTCTTGTTCCAGTCCCCTTCATATAGTGCCAAAAATATGTGGCAACACTATGGGGATCCCGTTCCTCATATTCAAGTTTTCGCATACATGCTTGCCGGTAAGAAAATATTTTCCAAAATTGGCTTGCTTAAAACATATTTTCAAATACCAGTTGAAGAGAGCGAAGTTCCTAAAAGTTCCTATAACTACATTCGAGTTATTTGAATTCACTCGAATTACAATCGGTCTTAGTAATACCGAACAAACGTTTCAGCGGTTCATTAATGACATTTTACGTGACTTCTATTTTTCATATATCGATGATATTTTGAGAGCATCAAAAGATGATGAAGAGCATGCGGACTACCTACGGAAAATTGTTAACTGACTTCGAGGATATGGAGTGAAATTTGGAGGCCATTGCAGTTGAACTGCAATATGGATATCATCCCAGGTCTCCGGAGTGTAATCGAGGGTGTTAGCGGCGACGGTAGTTGTTGTTGCTGCTGCTGTTGTTGTGATTGCAAGGGAGAGGGCGGAGGGGTAGCGTAGGAAGATGACGATGTTGTTGTCGACGGCGCTGATGAATTTCGAAGTTGTTGTAAGCAGCATGGGGCGACGAAATTTTCCGACCACTCTCGATGATCATTAAGTCCGGAGCAGTTCCTGAGATGACACCAGCCCAAACAAGATTTGCACCTTAATTGGATGGACATATGGTGCAGTCGGTTCTGCAAACTGTGCAGAACCATGGTCTGGGATTTAATTCAATTCCGGCACGGACCAAAAGGATGCGGAGCAGCAATGCCGAAAGATGTTGCTCCGCTGCAGAAAATTGTATTGTTGTTGCTGGGGTTGACAGCCCTTGGCCGAATAATTCGGGTCATTCCGGTACGTAGAACCGGCTGTCGGGGAATGCCCCGTAGAGTTAAACAAGGCGTACCTCAAGGTGGAGTACTATCGCCACTTTTGTTTAACTTCTACCTCTCTAAGCTCCCCGCACCTCCACAAGGCGTGGAAGTAGGGTTGCCAGATTCCGATTCGCAAAAAGCTGGACATTGGGTTTTAAAAAGCTGGACAAAACAAAATAATCTGGACATAAAAAATACTGAAAAAATGTTAATTTTGGTTTTGTGTAAATAATTTCACAGTGATACACCAAAAAAATGCAGGGGTTCTCATATACCAATTCCGTTTTATTATAGTCGATAGAGTACGAATATATTTTTAGTTTTCCCCGATCACATCGTTAATTTAGTTTTTAAGAGCAAAAGATGTGAAAACGCGCCATTTTTTAAGTTTTAAATTTTAAAAATCATAAGCTTTACGTAAAGAAATTGACTATCGCTAGCAATAATAGGTCTTTTCGCGTACTTTCCAGCAAGAAATATCCAGTAACTTTATGATAGAGAGTAATTTTTAATTTACTTTCAATCAAAAAATATCCAAAAAAGTACGCGAACGCAAATTTATAAAAAATTGCAAATTTTTGTTTATAAACAAACAAAACACTAAAAAACAAATAATTGAAACTATGATTTTTCTTGTTCTAAAAACTACTAGTTCTAGAACGAGTGCAAATAGAACCACTTCAGATTCTTAAACAACAGCCTTGGAACTAGTGGTGTCGCCATTACTTCTGGAACCCGTTTCTTTGAATATTGTTGTGGTTCTTAAATACTTCTAAATAGTTTTCAAGGAACTAGTTCTTTGAAACTAGTTATACATTGCTACTACATTAGTTCAATGGAAAGCATACTGGTTCCGAAACAAATTCTTGGAATCAATTGAAAAAAATGTCAAAAAATTAAAAATTTATTTTTATGGAAATAGAAAACTCGTTCAAATGTATATTTTTGCATTCAACTGAGCTACAAGATATTAAAAAGATCCCTAATTGAATGGTACCGAGAGAAGGGAAAGTTAGCTGCTTGTAACGTATATCCTTACAAAAAATATTTTAAAAAATTTATAAAAAATAAAAAAGAGGTGCTGA